AGAGCTAGTTAGATTTATAGATAGGTAATAGGGATATTGAAGAAATGACTTCTCAAAGAAAAGAGCACTTGGAACAAAAGAAGTGGAAAACAAGGTGTGCTTTATGGAAAACAAATCTGAGGAAGGAAATGAAACAGCTTGTGGGAGGCGAGGGAAGATGATACCCTTTGGCGTTCCTTAGTGCTGCTGAGGCTCAGCCCCAGAACTGGAACATACCCCCTCTGCCTTATTTCATCTCTCTACCAAAACAGGACATTGTCAAGTAGCTCAGACCAAAATGCTGATCTGTCTTAAGACTCTTGTCGGTCTGCTGGGGAATATTCTCTGGCAGAGCTTTACATAATACCTACCGTAAGATACTTAATTTATCACGTTAGCTTCCCCTTCCCTCCAAAAATTGTCTTATCTGTTGTAGGCCCCACTTCAGGATTCACACTGCCTTTGCTGAATTCTGTGGCAGCAGCTACAGAAGCCCTGTTTCCTGAATGTCATAACTTCGTGTGCGTTCCAAGCCGGCATGTTGCGGTGCTACAAAACCCTGAAATTATTTACCAGTAGGAATCCTAAGACCTTAGGGAATGGCATGCCAAGGGGCAACTCGTGGAGATCGCACAACCCCCTTGAGAAACCATTTAAGGAGCAAGAGCACCCGTGACAGTGTCCTGAGAACAAGGCAGTTGAGACAAAACCTTTAGTTCTTCCCCCGTTCACTCTCCACGTGTCGGCCTCTGTGACCGTGGCGCTCCCTGCGCCTGAGACAAAGGCTCGGAGCTCAGGCCGGGCGGGGAAGGGAAGGCACCACTGCGGGGCCGCCCGCGGGTGGCTCGGGCAGGGCTGGAGCAGCACCGGCCCCTGGGCGGCCCCTGGGCACCCCCTGTGTCCCCGCTGTGCCCCCCGTGTGCCAGCACTCCCGGGCAGGAGCTCCTTGGTCCCTGCCATGCCGTTGTTCCATTTCCTTCCTCTGTGGTAGTGTCTAAGGCTAGGTGTGAGTAGGTGTGGGGTGTTTATCCGCCACAGGTACAGGAGCTGTCGTATACCTCATTTCTAACTCGTAACTGAGTAACTTGCTTTAACTTTCTCCAAACCCCACAGAGTTGCCAAGTCTGCCCTCCCTCCTTTGATTAACACTGAACTCTGGCCTATAGCACCCCGTGACCTGCAACCTGGGGAGTGACCCCCTAACGCCTCTGAATGTCGCTGCTTAAAAGCTACTGCAAAGTGAGGGCAAATTGCAATCTTATCTTATTTCCTTTGGTTACAAGGGGTCCTCTTGATTAGTCTGTGAATATCCACCCCCTCCCCTCCACTCTCCATGGAAAAGGGCCACCCACGCTGCCTTTTCCCGCCCCGGAGCCACGCTGAGCTCCAGGGCCTGGAGGTGCTCTCAGCCCAGTGCTGCGTACATGCTACTCACTTTTTAACATGACCAAAAAAACAAACAAACAAACAAAAAAAAAAAAGGCAAAAAAAATAGAAATCTCCAAATACTTAATTTTCTTCTTTATTATTTGACAATCCTGTATCCCTTCCCCACTCCCCAACCTGGCCAGAAGCTGCATCCTTAACCCGGTCCATCTTTATTTGAATGTAGTTCCCCTACCCCCATGGGAAAGAGAAGCTTTGTCAGGTCACGGTGGCTGCTATAAGTCGGGAGGGGGCGGTTTCTTTGTTTTGTTTTGTTCTTTTAAAATTTCCAGCCAAAACCAAAGATTTCCTAATGATTGTATAAACTCAAAACAAACAAACAAACCAAAGACAAAGGGCGTCTTCAGCACCAAGCCCACCTGTGAGGCCAGCCTGGCCTGGGCTGGCCAGGCGAGGGTCGCTGCCAGCCCGGGGCTCCAGAATGCCCTGGGCAGCAAATCCCAGCTCCAGGGTGAAATCTGGGGCGCTGGGAAGGGAGGCCAGGGCTTCGCAGGTGGGTTGAGGAGCTGAAGACTTGGGTGCAGGATTGGCTGCTCTGCTGGGTGCTTTAACCCTCTGGGGGCTGGGTGATGTTGATTAATACACGCTGAGGTGCACTTCTGAGCTTCCCCCCCCTTCACTGCTTGGAAGAGGCTGTCCTGTCGTGAGAAATCCCTGAAAGAAGAAGAAGCAGCTTTTCATTTCTCCTCTAGTTCCTTTTTTCTAGATTTCTTTTATTTTTGCAGCACCACTGTGCAACTATGCATTGTATTTCTCAACCTTTTATGCTAGGTAGATGCCTGTGACTTTTTAACTTTTGGGGGGGGATTGCAAATGGAGGAACTTTTTACATGGATCTTTTTAATCTCAGTTGATTGGGGGGTGTTTGGTTCTAGGGTCAGACAAGCTCTATCCCAAAGCAAAATCCAAATGTTAATATTATTAGCCTGATGCAGATACCAAAGATAATTTCTTTCCTGCAGAACCTTAGACTTGTGTATTAAGTACGATTACCCAGCACTTGCATTAGTCTAACCTCAGTAATTCCAAAGCTTAGATGTATATTTTGGTATATTTCTGGGATATTAAAAAATTGTCGTTTAAATTCTTGTTTGTTTCAGTGTAATGCTCTTAAAGTCATAGCATGGAGATAACTGAACTTGTCCTATTCTTAGTAGTTTGAAATAATAGTATTTTTGTATGTTTTGGGTGTGTCTATGTATGTATTAACATAACAGTTTTCACTGCCTAGGTGTTCATAAATAATAATAAAAGAAAAACCAACTACAAAGGGTTTTTAAACTGTACATAATATTCCGTGAGGAATTTCCACCAGACCGCCAATTTGGATCGCATTTTCACTGATGGCCACTCCCAACTGGGATTCTTTCTTTCTTTTTAAAGAGACAGCATGTTCTTTTTTTTTCCCCCACTGACCTGAGGATCTTTCTCAGTGCAAAGGGGGTTTCACTGTTTTTAAGGGGTGGGCCAAAGAGGAGGTAGCTTAAATTTTGTTTCAAAAAAGTATTTAACGTGTTAGTTTGAAAACTACCCCTTTGTATGAAGAATTGGGAGTGGAAAACCAAGCCCTTTCTTCTAAATCTGATAATAATTTTCAGAGAAATGAGGATTTGTGAATGTCTGTAGTGTCTGGGCAGTCCTTTTTTGCTTTTTTTTCTAAATAAGACAAGTTTTTGGTCCTAATGGTTTCACTGCTCTGCGCAACTGCCTGCTTACACTGGCTGGGAGATTTTTTTTTTTCTCTTGCCCTTCCTCATAAACTGCATTTATACACTTGAGGTCAGAAGAACACTTGAAATCAAGGGCCATTATGGGAGTACCCTACCCAAACGCAACCCAGGCTTTTCTTGAGACTGAAATGTGAGAGTCCCACACATTTCAAAACCTTGCTGATCACACTAAGGGTGAGGAGGAAGGCGAAATGCTGTCTCTTTAAAGATGTCCTTTATTATTATTATATTATTATTATTATTATTTTCCCAGTGGTTGCCTACAGATAGCTGTAGGCATTGAGAGATTGTGTAGATTACAGTAAATCAGAATGAAAAGGTAGATTTTGTGTAGATGCATTTGTCTGCTGTAATTTTTTATATATATTAAACTTACTGTAATTGTACAGTTCATTTCTGTTGTAAACATCATTAAACCATTTTCCAAGTGTTTTAACATGTATGCACTTGTTTGTAGTTTTTAAATGTGTCGGGGGAGGCTGATTCCCCTTCCCCTGTGCATCAGAGTGGGCCAGAAGATGAATCTGTGGTGCCCTTTGTCTTGGCAAACTGGAGGAGAGCCCGGGTTTTATGCACTCTGCTGGAAGCTTTTGTTCTAATTCTGTATTTATCAGCTCCTCTCCTAAAAGCAGAAACAACTTCAGTGGCTTCCTGAAGGCAAAGAGGAGACTCAGCTCCACCCCACGGTGAGTGGCCCCAAAACCAGCGTTGGATGCTTTTTGAAATCAGGGTATCCATTGATATATAAAGAGCATAAAGGTGATTTTTTTTTTCTTTTTTCCCCCAAAGAATTTTGTTCCTATTGTTTGGTGGTTGGTATTTCACGCTGCCAAAGCTTGTGACTTCTACATCTAGCAGATACAGTTATGGTGATTTAAAGAGAGAAAGCTGTTTTCAGCAATCTTTGTTCTTGCATCGAGTGCTTTGCAGCATAACTTTACTGTAATTTTCAGTTCAGCTGTCTCAGTTATCACCCAGTTCTCTCAATTTTTCTTGTCACTGCAGAACAGTAGAGGATCTAGGAATTCTCTTTTTTTTGTGCAAGAAGCATTTATTACCATGTCTCAGTTTAATTTTTTTTTGCTTTAATTTATTGCAAATATTTTTTAAAAGCTACAAGCACCTACTGCAGGTACAGTTTTACTGCTAAAGAAGTAAAACTGCCTTGGAACTTGCATAGCACCCATTTCTACGAGTTTTTTCTGCTGCTAACCCACCCAAGTCTCTGGAAAGAAGACGTAACCTCATCTGGGCAGCACCCAAGAACAGCAGCTCTTGTTGCCACAGCCTTGCTTTAGCTCTGCTGCTTCTGTGAGGACTGATGAGATGGTTGGTGGGCTCCTGAGTCAAGGTGAAACATCCCTCATTTTGCTGGGCTGGATTTGTCCTTGCTGAATTCCTCCAGGCTTCACTGTGCAGCCTTGCGAGGCATGGGCAAAAGTGAGGCTGCAGCAGCAGGAGGTGAGTGTCCCCTTGATACCTGGGTTTGGGGCATTTTCCCAACAGCCCATCCCAGCCTCTGGGATGTGTGTAGGAGCTCCTGCTGGAATCCTGTCCTCCTCAGCTTCCCTGGGAGATGGTGCTGCTGGGTGCAGCCTGGCTCAGACAGTCTGAATGCCTCAGGTAAGGAGCTCGTGCCATTCCCATTGCTGCTCCCTACACACACACGGGACTGTGTTTTATTAATCCATAAAAAAAACGTGACATGATTGAACTGGAACCTCTTTGCAATGATACCTGCACCTTTTGGAAGCAGCCTCATGAGAGACTGCTTTGAAACTGCATTTATGTTGCCTTTGTACCGTTTGTTGTCAGGAACTGATAATAGGGGAACCCATCCATCTCCTTGTTTTCTTTGTTTTTCTGCCTTCAGAGAAGTCTCTCACTCAGCTTACCTGTCTCATATTTATAGATGAGTGGCAGTGCCACTGCTTGATCTTTTTTGGGATATTTTCTTCCTACGGGAAAGTTGGCATTCAGCCTCTCTGCGTCACTGCTGTAACATCATGTCACTCTTTTTTAAAGAGTTAAAGAAAAAGTTGCCCTCCACTGAAGCAGTTTTTAAAAGGTAAATTTAAAGCAAAAAGGGTGAAATAGTCCTAAGATAAATACTACAGGAAGTAAATACAGTCCTATCTTTGCAAATTATTTAAATGCAATAAAGCCATAATTCTATGTCTTAATACTCTGGAAGACAAGGAAGAGCTATGGAAATAGCTGTATTTGTTAGAAAGTGTGGTCTGGTCCCACAACACAAACCTTATTTAAAAAAAAAAAAATCAGCCTAATACCCCCTATAATTGGAAACAACTTCACAGTTATATGTACATTCTAAGAGCAGAAGCAGTTACATGGTTCAGGAGGAGAGGGAGAAGGAAAGGGCCAGGTCCAGATTCTGTGCACCAACCCAAGGAGATTCTTGCACAAGAAAACACACAGTGCTTGTGTTGGATGAAAAAGGCTTTCCTCCCTCTCCTCCCCAAAGCAGGTGGGCATCTCTCACTCTTGCCCATCCCTTCTGAGGCTCCCACTTAGCGGGGGGGTAAAGGCTGCATTTGGAGAGCATCATAAGTGTCCTTGGTTGCTGCACTGAGCCCCTGAAAAAGAAAACCAGAAGAACAGGTGAGGGATGAGCATGAGTAGTTCCTGGCTGATTGGCAGCAACAGGATGGCAGGGGCTCAGTCAGGAGTTTAAGTCTGATTTTTTTTCCCCCCCCCCCCTTCAGTGGTTTTTACTCTTGAGTGATTCTTTAGTCATCGTGTGGTCCAAATAGCTATTACTTACCTGAAGGCAAGGTACATCCTGAATAATTGGTATGAAAATATGACTACAGCAAATCATCCTAACTGGTTCTGCCCATCTTTGGAGTACATTTTATTTGCATGTTATTAAGAGCTAACTGATGCTAGAATGAGCATCGATAATTAAATGAACAGACATCAAATCATGAACTTTGTTCTCTGGACTTCTCTTCTTTGATTTGGAAGGGAAATCGGGTGTAGCTCTGGGTAAGTAAGCTGGCAGTGGGACCTCAGGTGGTTTGGAATCCTGGGAAGCATTTCCTGACAGCCCTTCCAATGATGCCCAGTCCTTTCCCTGACAGCCTGCTCGGGTAAGGCAGCTGTGCCCTGCGTTGCAGATCCCAGAGCAGAGGTAGCCGGGGCTTCCAAGAGTGAGGAGTTAGTGAGACACCTGGTGCCTGCTTGGGAAACTTCCAGCTGCCTTTCACTTCTCTGTGCCTCCCTGACAGTGCCATTGGATATCCAGCCACCGGGGAGGACAGGTGAGGAGAGCAGCTGTGAGAGGTGGTGCCTACCTGGTAGAGACCTTCATGCCCTTTGCCTCGCCGTCTCTGCTGCTTTGGGAAAATAAAACAAGCATCGATTGATTAATGGGTGCTTTCCTGATTATGCAAAAAGAAAGAAGCCCCTGAGTTTCCCCGTGCTCTGCTGAGGGCGTACAGGATGTGCCAGCTGTGCATGGCCTGGACTCTGCTCTGCACAGGAAAACACCTGGTAAGTCTGGACCAGCCCCAACATGCTGCAAGGGCTGTTAAGGAGAAAATAGAGAGGATAGGAAATAAAAACAAATTGGTTTGGTTTGCTGACATATTTTCCTGTCATACTGTTAGAGTGTTGCTATTTCTTTGATTCACTGTATATATAGAGATTTGGCAGCATTTCTGTAGACGCTGATTATTTAGTAATAGATTGTATCACAAATGTGTCAAGGAGTAGTGCTTGTTACAGTTAAAATTGCAGCAACCTATTAAATGATCATATATTTGGAATGGGACAAGGTCTTTGGTGTTCTTGTCCCTCCAGAAACAGAAACATTCAAAAAACATGGTGCAACTTTATAGCCTCATAGCTCAGGCAGAGCTTGATTCTGGCAGAGGAGCATTAGAATAAAAAAGGGGAAGAGATTAAATGTTGGTGTTGCTTCAGCATTTCTCAACACTAAACTTTGTTTTGAAATGCCCCTTTTTTCATGTGTCAGAAGGAAATGAAAGGTTATATATATATATATGACACTTTGACATAAAATAGAACCTGTGTAGGTCAGAGCAATTTTTCATTTTGCCATAAACAAGCGTCCCCAGATGGTTTGTTTTCGACACAAGCCCCCCTCCCCCAGCAGTTTGTGCACAGAGCTAAAACTCTCCCTCTGCTGCAGCTGGAGACGTGACTGATGTGTGCTGCCTTAAACATTTGAGAGCAGAGCTGTGGGAAGGAGGACATTTCCCCTATTCCTTGTTTGAAGTCAGGCATAAGGAGGGGCTGGCACTTGCTCTCCTGGATCCTGGAAAAGCAGCCAGCCTCAGCAGCCCGTGGAGGGAAAACCATAAACCTGCAGCTTCACACTGCTCTGGAGAAACATGCCCCAAAATCTTCCAGTGCTGCTGGACCATTGCAGCACTTGACACCAGACCTTCCTTCAGCTGTTCCTCCCCCATCTCACTCCCTGTGCCCCCTCAGCCAGGGCAGCTGTCAGGGGTTTTCTGCCCAAAAGCTGACATGTTTTCTGTTGCCATGTTTTCACCAGGAAGGAAAGTAACTTACCTCTCCCTTCATTCCAATCTCACTGTATGCCTCACCCATCTTGTCCTTCTGCAGTGACTGCAGGCAGAGAGGGGGAAAGAGTCAGTGTGACAATAGAAAAGCCAAGCCAGCCCCTGGGTACCACATTTAAAACCAGCTGATCTCACAGTGTCTCATGATTCAACAGCAGTTAAGGTCTTGGAAACAAGCTCATTTCTCAAGCACTGAAGACCCAGAATGACCCAAATTAAGATGTGAGAATCAACATTCCTGTATCTGTGCTTTGCAGCACAGACCACCACATTTAGCCAGAGTCAAATCAGCTCTATCAAGAGGTTCCTAAGCAGCCCCTCTTAGATGCACTGGCATTTGGCCTTTGCCAGAGAACAGCCACAGGGGCTGGAGTCCATGCACAGGAAATACTGCAGCAGCAATCCCAGGGGAGGAAGGTTGGTTAGTCACTAGCATTAGGCATTAGCAAGTATCTTGATCCAAGTTCTTTTCCACATCTCCCCAGTGCTTTTCTCCTGTCACTCAGAAGTGAGCAGCAATTTGCTAGCAAAAACAGAGGATCTGGAGGGAAGAGTTGGGTGGAAGGGAAGAGAGGTCTTGAAAAGCAGCTGTTGAGTTTTGAATCAAAACTGAAATCGGGTAGGGGGGGAAGTCTCTTATGAAACAGAATCTCCTGTTTCCTGCCATCCCTCCCTCCCTGCTCCCTCCAGAGTGCTCTACTCACAGTGTAGACAGTGTCCTGAGGGTTCTTTCTCCTCTGCTGTAAAACAGAAGAAAAAAGTTGCCCATACATTGCGCTACCAGCATCCTTCACCACCTTGTACGTGCTTATGCATTTGCTCCATGGCACAGCTACGGCTCTATGGACTTTCCCTGCCCATTCCAGCCCATCCTACCGGACAACTTGTTCTGGGGAAAATTAATTTCATTTTAACAATTGGTAAAACTTAGTTCTTCTCTGCTCCCTCCCTACAGCTGTCACTTGCTGATGCAGGAGGTTTTCCCTCCTTTCCCTTTGAAAGTGATGGGCTCTGCAGCAGAAGGAGTTGTTTTGGCTGCTGCTCTGCTTTGTGGGCGCTTGTTTGATGGCATCAGACGCAGCGAGCTCTGTGAAACACCCACGGCTGCCGGGCCTCCTCCGCATCCGCCCCGGGCCCGGGTGTCACTTCCCACCCCGGGCGGCTGCGAGCTCCCAGCCGAGCGACAGGGGCAGACATCAAAGGGGAGGGGAAGCTTCGCTCCTGTCCCCCCCGCTCCGCCCGAGTTACGACACAAATCGCGTCGTCCCCTCCCCAGAAAGGCGCTCGGGTGGCTGCCCGTGTGAGCAGCGCGGTGACACTGGCGTGGGAGGCACCAGATCAAAGGACAGAGTGCACAGGTGGCAGGAGGTTACCTGGTGTCTCCCGCCCAGCTCGGGGTCTGCTCCTCGCTTTCCTCCCAGAACGTCGTAATCGTCCCTGGGCTTGCGGGAGAGCTTCTGAAACGGGAGAGCAAAAGAAGTGAGTGGGCACCGTGATAATGAGATAATAGATCTTAACACAGAAAAGAGAGGGAACCCAGCTCAGCTCACAAGGACTATAACTGAAGCAGAAATTATTTTTACTCCCTAATGCAACTGTCAACAAAAATGTCTACATTTAAGCCATGGAAATGACACAAAACTGCAAGCTGTTGCATCAAGAACCTTTCCTAAGTGGAAATGAGTTGAAAACTAGAGGGGCATGAGGAGGAGGGACTCTGACTTTCATGCTTTCTCTCCCACTGGAGAGTGAAGATCCATGAGCTTCCTTTTTCTTGCAGACCTGTTTATCTAGATTTGCATCAAGAAGTTACAGAAATTTTTATACCCATCACAATTCTTAGCTGGGAAAGGTTACCTTGAACAAGGGCAAAGGAGAGATTTCAGGTCAGAGTAACACAGTTGACAGTGCTACTTGAAAGGCTACACTTAAACTGAAAAGAAATTGCATTAATGTTCATACATTACAGAGTTAAACAGAACCCATCGCAGGATGTGGCTATGGTCAAAAGTGTGAGAAAAAAAAAATTAAAAGGCAACTAGACATAGCAAAAATAGCAAGAGTTTAATGCTGCCATGAGTGAGCAATTTAGTGAGGAGGCTCAAGCAGGATCTTGCCTCTGTCCTCTTTCACTGCCTAAAGATGCTGTCCATGGTCAGGGCACAGGACAAGGTACATCTCTGGTATGATCTGGTACAACAAGGCTTGTTGTGGAGCAGCAGGAAAGCTTGGGAATGGAGGTACAGGGGCTGTGGTGCCTCAGGCTCCACACACTTGAGAGTGGAGGAGCTGCAGGTGCCCAAAGTCAGCTCCACAGCATTCCTTGGCGTTTGCCCAGCCCACATCAAACAGCAGCAGCTGGGGCAGTGGCTGCACACACCCCCAGAGCTCTCCCAGGCCTGTTTGTTCCATGGGGCAGCACAACAAACAGCCTGGGCTCCTGCCAGCCTAGAGCTCAGTGCACCAAATCAGCAACCAACAGCCCAAGAACCTCTTCAGCATCTGGCCACTGATGACACCAGAAGCTGCCCCTGCGAGGTTTTACCTTTCCTCCTTACAGCTGCCATGCTGCACACGTGTACAGCCTACTCATTAGCTGGCTCGTCCAAAGTTTTCCTGCCCTGCAGGCAATTCACTGTCTCTAAATGCTCCAGGAGGTCTGTCTGGATGGTAGATTAGAGAACAAAGAGCAGCAGGTACTCACATTGTACACATCATCCTGGCCTGGTGGCAGCTGTGGTGCAGAGGCCTGGCTGAGCTGGAAGAGAAACCATTCCATGAGCAGAGACACAGTGGCTCCCCTCAGTCCTTTCATTCCCTCTTTCCTACCAGTTACTTTCATCAGAAACAGGGCAACCCACAAGCAGCTCCCTGTGGGGCTATAGGCAATGCAAACCCCTGCTGCTGCAGCACTTTTATCCACATACAAGCCTGCCCTCAGCAGACAAGTCGTTTTACTTCACATTACACCAGCTCACAAACATCTGAGTTTGTTCCTACACACCTGCCCTCCTCAGATTTTGTGTCTCCATTCTCTTCCTGTCATAATCTTGTGCCTCCCTGGGACTGGGTTCTCCAGCTGCCTGCAAAGTTGCTGGGAATCCCTGCACCCCTCAGGAGCACCCCTTGGCTTGCAGTGCTCTGGTGCCACCACAAGAAGTTGATGTGGGTGGCAGCAGCAGCTAAAAAAGAGGTGAAAGGATTATCCCTTCTGTAGCTGCTCTTTGGCTCAGCTGCTCATAATACTTATGAGCAATCAATTGCTAAGCCAGAATTTCAAGTAAAAAGGGGCAGGTTTGGGTCAATGAGAGCAGCTACTTGGTGTTGTAGTCTTTAAAAAAATCTTGTCAAACTACATTCTATATTGATTTAGCCTTCTTGAGCTGTTATTATCACATTCAATTCTTTATTAAAAGTAACCTTCTAGCTCAGTCTATATTTAGGCAAAGAATCATGTTTGTAGCAAATACACAAGTCCTCTCCTGTGATTGTTTGGATTATGTTGTTTACATCATCACACTCATAGTATCAAAGATGTCTGAATTATTGAGACATTTTAATACATCCTTCACAAGCTTTCCATTTTCCCTGCACTTTCTGTGTATCCCCTTCTCTTTTACCAACCAATGACAAAGCAGGTGAAAAAAATCCACATTACTCTTGATCAGTCACTTCCCATCTACAAAATCCAGAATCTCTGATGTATCCATAAGTGTAACATCAAAACACTCTGATATACTCTTCCCTCCTCTATTCAGGCACCTTTGGAAAGAGCTGCCCCAGACTGCTCAAGTGGACACCAGAGGGGTGAAAAAAACCAAAAAAGACAGGGAGAGAAAGCAAAAGAATAGAAAGGTCTCATTCTAAGAGATGGTTCCCCTCCATTCCCACTTTCCAGCCCAGCTCAACTATCTTACACCACCAAATCCAAATGCATCTGTGTTGGGTTAGACTGACCTTTGCCTTCACAAAAAGGGCTGTCATGACCACTGCATAAATGAAGAGGAATCCATCCAGCACGTAGCAGAGCCTGGGATCTGTGAGGCCAAGGACTGATGCAGCATCTGCAAAAAATATCAGATACATCAGCAAAGTCATTTGTGTCACTTGGCAGCACCAATCTGGCAGTGCTGCATAGCACTTCGTGGAAAAATAATAGCCAGTGTGCCCCTTTGCAAAGGAAATGGAATTTTGAATATAAAATTATAGGATTAATCTGGTCAAAAAGGACCATCAAACAAGTTCAGTTAAACCAGACTGACCAGGACCTCAGCCAGCTGAGAGCATCTCCATGGAGAGAAATGTTTGCAAACTCCCCCAACCAACACAGGATGTTTATTTTCTGGGAAAACCCAGTAGCATCTCCTGCAGGAATTCATGACTGGGTCTAGTTAAGGCTTCCTTCATCAAGTGTGTGTGAGAAAATACATTGTTTGGACAAAATTGTAGGGGAGGACTTCTCAATTCTGCATTAAATGTAAATAAAGATTGACACAATCACATTCAATGCTCTAGGAGTAAATTGAGTCCATTACCTCACATGTTTTCCATGTGACTCCTTCTGAAAAAGGGAGTCTCCCCTTTTATTCAGCCACCATTTAAATATCCATACACTGACACCTTAATATTATTGTTTTTCAACAGATAAACCTGATGAAACTGCCTGTGTATCAGTTCATAAAGATGTAGAAAGTTTACTAAGTATAGCTAAAAAAAACCCCAAAGGCTAAGTAATTATAGATCCAATATGCTGCTCCAGGTTCATCCCCCAAGGAAAAGCTGTATTGCACAGTAATATAAAAAACAAAACAAACACCTTAAAATTCATCTGAGTTGTGCTTTGTGCAGATTTGGAAGGAGTTCAAAAGAGAAAGACGAAAATTATCAATAACCTGAAAAGCCCTTTGATGAAGATAAACAATCACTGTTCCCACTGACAGCCTCACACACCCAGAAAAAAATACCACACAGTAGATTTGTTTGTTTGTCTGAACTAGGAGTTTGCATTCATTTTTATCTAAATCATACATTTAGAAATAAATCCATGGAAATAAATTGAGATCCTAGATGATTTTCCTTCTTCCCCTCTCTTTTTCAATAATTTAAAAAATACTGTTCAAAGCATTTTATGGAAAATACCCTTCACCACATTTCCTCAGGACTATAAAATTTCATATATATGGGGTAAACAGAGACAGATTACGTTATTTGCCCAACATTGTATATTAAACCAACAAACAAGCTGAGATTATTTTCCCAGAGCTTTTCTTTTAAACAGTTAACAGGACAATATTTTACATCAGCCTGGAGGCATCTGAGATGCTGCTGAAGGCAGCATTTTTGGTACTCTTTGGGTATCCTGGCCCTGAATCCCCTCTTCTTGTACCAAAGCCAGGCACATTCATACAATTACCTCAAGTCCAATATTTCTCCAGCACTAATAAAATCCCCAGACCAGAAGCAGCTAAAGCAGGAGACAGAGGGCTGTGGAGGAGATGCCAAGAGTTCAGGGGATTTAGCTGTGGCTCTGTGCCAACCATGGTCAACCTTGGCTGACTCTGCAGAGCCAACCAAGTGCCCACATGGTGCCTATGTGGGGCAGCCTGGCCTCCAGCATCCCAGGGAATGGATTAAAGCTGTTTAGTGAGGGAAGGCCTGCTACTCTGGCTGTGATTGTTCCTGGAAAAACATGTTTTGAGACAATGAGAAAGTCCAACATTTAGAAACAAACCAATGAAATGAATAGAATTATTAGGGTGAGAAAAGACCTCCGATATCATCAAGTTCAACCTTCAGCCAAATACCACCATGCCCACTAAATTGTATTGTGAAGTATCACATACATTCATTTTTTTGAACACTTCCAGGGATGGTGACTCCACCATTTCCCTGAGAGCCTGTCTCGATGCTTAACCACTCTCATTGCAGAAAATTTTCCTCATATCCAACCTGGTGCAGCTTGAAGCTACTTCCCCTTGTCCTATCTGTTAGTTCATGTTAGTTCCTTCCTTAATACGTTTGACTCCTGTATTCTTAAACAAAACAAAATGTACAAAGCTCTTTCTAAATAATAACCTTTAAAACAGGTTTCTGGATTAGAGAGAGAGAGAGAAAAAGACAGAAGGCACAAAGCCTGTTGAAAGAAAGGTCAGAGATAGGAAGCACAATGAACAAGTGGCAGTTAAAACAGTTACCATCCATTCAGGTGAACAGGACCAGGCTGGGTTTTTAAATCACCAGAGGAGGGGTTACTGCCTCTTCAAAACAGAAGGCCAGTCCTTTAGGCACCACCAAAATGTACTTTCTGTCCCTCATCAGCCGTGGGCTGGGGGCCAAGGTCACAGGGGATGAGCTGATGATGGGAGCTGGGCAGAAAAAAACGTGCCAGGTCTAAGGAAGCAGTCACATTCAGCTGCCTCACACACAGCAAGGCACAAACAGTGAACAAATAGCAAAGCACAAACAGCAAATATTTCACTGATGATTCTCACTCTGTTAGCCTCACAGGTTCAGGGGAGTTGCACAGTGTCTTTCCAATATTCCCATACCAGAACTGAGAGGAGACAGTCACTGAGTAGAGCACTGCTCAGGTTTCCAGCCCTCCTCAATCCCAATTGCCCACACCTAGAACTCTGTCAGCAGCTGTGCTTCTGCCCCTGAGGAGTTTCTTCTCAGCACCTCCTCCTTCCAAAGCCTAGGCTTTTATTCTCCCCCTTTTTTCTGCTCCCACCTAGCAATACAGCCCTGATCTTCTCTGTACCTGGGTGCTCTTTCCTGCTGCTGCAGGTCTCTACACTCCCACATCTGGATCTGAGGCTGGCATCTCCCTCATCCTGCTCCACACTCACCCCCCAAAGCAGCTCTGCCAGCACCTCTGCCAGCACCTCTGCAACAACCCCCTGTGGCCTTTTACTTTCTGAAGTATGGGCAAAGAAAAAGAAAATAGAACAAAAGAAAAAAATTTTTAAAAAGGCAATTCAGAACTGCTGTGGACAAGCAAGCAAGAAAAACCCAGCAGTGAGAGCCCAAGAGCAGCCCCAGGGCCGAGGGAGAGGAAGCCTGGGGGCCGGCGAGGGCGGCTGCGCTGCGGGCGCCTGCTTCGAGAACCCTGCGTGGTTTCACAGAATTTCAAGCCCCTGGCTCAGGCCCAGCATCAGCTCTCTGGCACAGGGCAGCAAGCTTAGCTTCAGCCACCTGCACACTCTTCCTGCTGCTCCAGTCCTGGAGAGAGACAGGGAGTCCCAGGATCCACATCCAGACATGATTGCCCTGCTCCAAAACATGACGCGAGGGAGGGATGCTGCACCCCAAGGCTGGCTGGGCTCCAATCCACGGGGCTGGCCCAATGCAGCCAGTAACAATGGGGATCAGCTGAGCTGAATCACTGCAACATAGCCTGGACCCTTGAAACATGCCAGAACATTTCTTTTTAATAGGATTTTCCTCCTCCAATGTTTTTAGTGTGCATCTGGATTGGGTTAGACCATGATTCCTGATAATAGTTTGAGAAATACAGACCATAAAAGCTGAATTACTTGTAAATCCAGATCAAATCTGTCCACCATAAAATTTTTTCTCTCCCATGGCCCTTTTTAAGTGATTCATTTAAGAGTTTTACTTTTAGGGGTTACCAAAATTCAGTAACACAGCTGTAAATGAAGCGTTTTATCTTCCTGGAAACCAAGCTTCTCAGTGAAGCCCATGAAAAGCAATCCCAGCACCAGAGATTTATTGGTGCAACTGTGGTTGCATACAAAGGTGTTTGAAGGCAGAGGCTGTAGGGCCTTCTCCCAACAGCCCAGAGCTGCCACAGCTGCTTGCTGGGTGAAAGCAGGCAGCTTTTCTTGGACACCACCATCTTCCACCTGCAGTGATCCCTGTGACTCTGGATCGTTGCATTTACCTCACTTCTATCCTAATATCATCCGAGAGCCTCTTCCTGCAGGTTTGTGTTTCCAGACCCCCATGGGGACAGAATTCCACAGCTGCAGGTGCCACTGCCACATCAGGCACCTACCAGCCTCTCTCTCTGGAGGCTGACAGCAGGGACATGCTGGGTGTGATGGGTCTTGTCTCACTGCTGCTGTCTGAGAGCAAAATTCTGAACCCAAGAGAGCTCCCTGGGCTTGGGGCAGAACAAGGAGAGAGATGAGTACCCTGCATGGTGCTTCACACAGGCCTGAAGCTGAAAAGACAGCCCAGATTTAATGCCTAGAAGTTAACCAGTTAAAATTGTAACAGATAACCCTGTTCATAAAGAATGTTTCTGTCATGGGGTTTGTTCATATTTATGTATTTCTATGGGTTTTACTCATAGATATAAAGCAACAAACAAACCTGTGACCCTCCAGGGCTGAAGAAGCAGAGGCCAAATTCTCCTTCCTTTGCAGGAGGCATAGGCTCAATTAAATTATTTCTCATCAATATTCCATCACATATTTGTGAAACACAGCAAGGCCCAAAGCAAAGCTCGTGCCCTTGAAGTTCAGCATTAGATTTCATCGTGGTTGTCAGAGGAAACTGCTGATATGATCAGGATTCAGGTTACAAGACCAGATGTCGGGCAGCCCAAATAACTACATTTAAAAAGTATTTTAGGCCATTAACTTCCACTTTTTTACACCAATGAATGTAAGCCCTATGGCAAGTCAAGGTAAAGTGCTTTAGGATTCTTGTGAGCCCTTTCTACTCCTTTTAGGATCCCTTTCAGGGAGACACTAACGCAAAGTTCAAATAATTCAAGTTTCCCTCTGATTTATTTGGAAGAAATAGAGTCAAAAAAGGAAAATATTACAATACCACAAAGGGTTGAACATTGGTGTTCCTGCCCATGGCAGGGGGTTTGGAACTAGATGATCTTTAAGGTCCTGTCCAACCCAAACTTTTATATGATTCAATTATTTTCTAGCACATCATGGAATAAAGACTCTAATTAAGAAGTCCAAGGTACTATACAGGAGCAAGACAAGGAGCTGTTTGGTATGTGGGAAGTAGAAACACGTGCAGAAAACAGTAAATTAGCTACCTTTTCAGTCTGAAGGTGAAGAAGATTAACTTTGAATAT